TTAAAGTTTGTTACTATTCAAAACATGTAAAAAATAATACTTAAGAATATTTTATTTTAAAATCTTATTTTGATAAGTTTTATTTGAAAAAAAAATTAATGTGTAAATTTTTTTTACCTTTATTTTATTTTTTAATAAAGAAAAAATATTTTAAGTTAGAAGATATCCCAGTTCCCCCTGAATTTATAAACTTTCTTAGAATATTCTTTAAAAATTGAAAATAACTTACCCATTTTAAACAGGTAGTTAGACTCGTTGTATCCTCCTTTCCTTCTAACCCTTCAAACTTGAATTCCAACGAAATATCAAAACTTAATTTTTAAAGAGAGCGTAAAAATCGTTATTTTAATGAAAGAAACAATTTATAAAAAATAAATAATTTAAATTTTATTTATTGAGTTCTGAAATCAACTAAATATATTTATCTTATAACAATATGTTAAAGTATAATATCAATTATATTTTATTTTGGATTTCATTCCAACATTTAATAGTTTTATTTTAATTTCAATTTATTTTTCTTCCATGTACAGTTTGCTTTAAATAAAAATTATTTCAATTAGTTTTATATAAATAATTTAATATGTCTAACGAAATTAGGTATTTTTAAATTTTAATATCTAATATTTATACTAACAATTAGGAATTATATTATTAATAATAATATAAATAAATTACACAATTAATGTAGAATAGATATTACAAATGAATGCTACAACATTATTATTGATTATATTATAATATATTAAATAGATATTGTAAAATTATTTTTAGTAATTTTTAAACATTTAATAATTAATTATTTTAAAAAGTATGAATTTTTAACTTTCTATTGTTTAAATTCAAATTTTTATATTAATTATTAAATATTAATTAATATCTTTTTTATATGAATATTAATTATAAAATAGATATTAATGGCATTAACAATTTGGAATAAGTAGAATTTATATTTATTTAGATAATTATACTTTTTAATATTAATAAGAACAGTTTCAAAGTTATTTATATATTTAAATAATTAAAATTTACATTTACATTATTTATTGTTTTAAAAATAAGAAATATTAACTTCAAAATTTAATAACTTCAAACGTAAAAAAAAAATTACAAATACCATCTGGAATTAGATCCTCGTAAATCTAATTATGATCGGTTTTATGGTACATAAAAATAAAATAAACACAAATTCAATTTTTAAGGTTAAACTCGATATATAAACAATAAATAGATTTAGTTTTATAAATAAATAAAAAATCTATTTGGAGAATTTTTATTTTTTATTTTTTGAAAATTTTATGCTAAGAAATTTAGTTGTTATGTTTTCATGCTGATAGGATAATTTTGGTGTTGTGTTCAGACAATATTTTTTTGTCTGTACTTAATATTTTGGTTCTCTTGTACTTTGCCTAATTTTTTTCTCTATCCTACTTACTATTATTCTTCTCTTGTACTTTGCCTAATTCCTCTCTCTCTCTCACTGCTTTTAACTTTCTTCTATTCTGTTTTGCTCTCTCCTTATCATAGTTGTTATTTTTAACCTCTCCGTACAGTAATTTTTATTTCTCATCACTATGCTATGCATATTTTGTATTATAATTTTTATATTATTATGTTTATTATATTTAATTGTTTTTATAAGGTCCAAGACTCTCGTTCCCTCCATTAAATGTTTTATGATCTTTTACGTGATAAATTATCATCTTTTAAATCATATTTCAATCTTTTACAGTGTGTCAGAATGTAGACATGAAGTATCGAACCACCTTATTTTCTAAGTTTGTTTTTTTATCTTTATTTTTCCCGTGTATGCTTTCGTAGATGAAGATTTATTTTCCCCACCCAACAACATATTTATTATAAAGCAGCAGTCAACAAGTTCGAATATATAAGATTAGGGAGGACAAAATAATTTTTTTTAATAATAATTTTAACAAAATTAGGGGATATACCGGTACATTCTTGTGTATATATATAGGTCGATCATTGATGATGCCAATAAAATTATAATATTAATAACAATTAAATATGCATCAATTAGAATCACATGATACATTTGGATATATAAATAAAATGAATGATGTATATAAATTATTTATAATTATATTCATTAATTATAAGAGCAATCAATATTTGGGCGATCCATAAATACCTTATAATAATGAATTTCAATAAACTCATAAATCAATTAATATATACATAATTTTGCATCATTAATTTTATGGGTAATTGATATGAATTATCATTAATTTAAAATTAAATAACATTAAAATTTTGACCACTTTATAGACTAACAAAATTCACTATATGCTTGGTTCAAATAAATACATGTCTTTCATTACTATTAATCATTCATACCATTTTCTTTAATTTCATTTTAAATATATACCACATCGGTAATAAATAATTTATTGTGATTTTGCGCAAAACAAAATCACAAATTTATTAAAACTTTAATTTTAATGAAGAAATATTCTAACAAAAATTATTATCAATTATAAATGATAAAGATTTCTCTATCAAAATATTCCTCAACATCAAAAGAGACCGTTTTTATGGAATGTTATTTGCATACATAGTAATGAGGATTATACAATTAAAGTAATGAGACAATAATATTTCTGTAGGCCACAAAATAATTATACCTCGTTTATAAAAGTTTGTGTTCATAATTTCGTTATTTCATGCTCATTATACAGTAAATAGAAACAAAATACATGAATTCTGATCAAGCAATCCCAGAATAATTTTGAATGAAACTCAATAAAATTCATAAATTCTCAAATTTCTTAAATAGGATTTTATAAACAAAATCTCTAAATTTCATTATTAGGGTTAGGAAAAATATAAATTGAAAAAAACATTATAAAAGGAGAATCACACAATTTCACAACAAGACTATGATACCATATGTAAAATCATGGTTTTTCTATTAACTATATAAAATAAGAACCAAACAAGATCTTAAAATCAACGGGAGAAAGAAGATGTGTATCTTTTTCCATAATACAAATTCTCGTAAGTGTTCTTCACTGCTTCATAAAATATAGTTGACAGCGTCTATATGCTCTCAGTTTTCTTTTGTTTTTTTACACATACAATCATTCTTTCACAATTATTATGACTTTTTTTTTCCTCATTTGGTTCCTTTCACTATTACACTGTTTTCTTTTATAAACATTGTTATGGTATCAAAACTTTTTTGTGAAGAGCTCGTGTGTATTACTTTGATCCTCTTGCCTCTTTTTTTTTTTTTTCTTTTTTTCTGTCTTTTTGTTTCTTTGTCCTTTCTTGTGTTTCTTTCTTTGTTGAATTCATGGCAAAAAAAGTCTTCACCCAAGACTTTTCAGCAACAGCACTTGTCTTTCCTATTCTTGATGCAACTAATTATTATTTATGAAGTTAGTCCATGCTTATTACAAACTACAATTTATCACTTTTATTAAATAAAATTAGGATGAGAACAAACTTTCACTCCCTTCACTTCTTGTTTTATGTTCTTTCATTTTTGATGAATGAAAAATAGATAAAATATTTTTTATATCAAGAAGGGGACATTATTTTTACCTTAGTGATATTAACTCCTTTAAAAATATTATTTTCTTTTATTTTACGTTATTTGCTTTTATTTTATCTATTTACCATTTAAAATTTTATTATTTATTCATTTATTTTCTCTCTTAACTATACATTACCGCCGGTTTTAAAGTAACGTTAAGAAAATGTTTAGAAATCTTATTTTTCTAGTCTTGACATCTGTATATTTTTATATTTGATTTGTACACAAATGAATCTTTTGATTTTAATTCCACTACGTTATGATAAATGGTTAAGTTTTTGTTTATTTTAAAACTCTAAATCATGTTAAAAATTATTTTAATGAATTAAGAAAAAGATTATATAATTTATTCTCTAATTTTTATATAGAGAAAAAACACTATATAAACTATTTATTTTTCTTGGACCAAATAATGAATCCATTCTTCTTGTGCGTTACTTGTACTAGAAAATCAATTTTAGTAATGATAATTATTTTCAAACAAATAATATAATTAATGGACAACTTAAAATCACAACACTATATAATATGATGTAATCTTATTTTAAATTGTTTAATTTCATACAATATTTTTCTTTGAAAATGACTAAATGTTATGTTATTACAAAACTAAGTGATAGCACCTGTATACGTGTGTGAAAGTATAACCTCATTCTTTTAAACAGTATTTATGCATAATATATTACACACTCTCTTCTTAATTTTAATATAATTTCCTTTTAAACAGTAACTTTTTATTATTTATTTTTTATAATCTAATAATCTATAATAATAATAATAATAATTTAGTTTTATTTTTTTAATTTTAAAGAATAATTTTACAGATTGATTTTAAAATATCATTTCCAAAAATAAATTAAAAAAATGTTTTTTTTAATAATTCAATGGTATATATGATCATAAAGCTAAAAAAATAATTTAAATAATTGTATAATGATGAAAATAAATAATTTAATATAAAAATTGATAAAATTATTAATACTCAGTAATAAAAATAAAAAACTAAAATATAAATATATCTTTTAATTTTTTATTATCATATAAAAATTTATAAATATTTATTATATAATGTAATGTGTGATTGATTGATAATATAAAATGATTCACTCCTGAAGTAAATTAGTTAAAAGAAGATAAAATAACGTTAAAAAGGAGAAGGAATTAAAACAATTTCATTAAATTTTACTAATGTGTGTAATGATGTCTGCTTGTTTATATAATATAAATTAAAAAAAAGAAAAGATGGTTGTCTCTATAGTTCGTAACGCCTCTCCTTCTTCAACCTTCATGCATTACAATTCTCATTCCCATTCTCACCCATTTAAACCCCAACTCACACCATTTCTCTTTCAGTACTCTTCTCTCTCTTTCTCACACACATTTTTTTTTCTTGAGGTGTTCCCTGTGGTGGTAGCTACCATTAACAACTAATAAGGACACCATGGTTGTTCTTTCGAACCAATCTGCGCTGAACGAGTTATTTCTCGTCAAGACATGCAACCCCTCCACCATCTTCACTGAGGTTCCTGTGGTTGATCTCACACACCCTGATGCCAAGACAATCATGGTGAAGGCCTGCGAAGAGCTTGGTCTGTTCAAGGTGGTCAACCATGGCGTTCCGTTGGAGGTGATAACCCGTTTGGAGAATGAAGCGCTCAAGTTCTTCAAGCAAAGCCAGTCCCAGAAAGACAAGGCTAGTCCTCCTGACCCTTACGGCTATGGAAGCAAGAAAATTGGTACAAACGGTGACATGGGTTGGGTTGAGTACCTCCTGCTAAGCACCAACCCTGATATTGTCTCCCTCAAAACACATCAACTTTTTCACCAAAACCCGCAAGTTTTCAGGTAACTCATAAAGCGTTTTAGAGCAGAGTCCCCTGGTTTTTCTGTTTTTTTGTTTTTTTTCTTCCCTCTACTTTTATTATATGTCAAGGTTTTAAAATGTGTGACTGCAATTTTGGCTGCACTCTGTGTATAGCATCACCACCTTAATTGCCACTGCATTGATTGTATTTAATGATAAACATTTTTATCACGGTCATACTAGCGGTTTCATCCTGATATTTGACCAATAGGACTGATGTGACGTGATTACCGTTTCATTGATAAATGAGTTTGATATGATCATAATAATGGTTGTTTTATCGTTATTTTTGATGAATAAGTCTAATATAATCACAGTTACAGTTTTATCAATACAGTTGTATCGTGATTTTCAATAAATGAATTTGCTGTTACCATAACCACGTTATGATGGTTATGTTTGATTGTGGTTGGAAGGTGGTGTGTGGAGGAATACATAGGGGAAGTGAAGAAGATGTGCTGTGAAGTGTTGGAGAAAATGGCTGATGGGTTGGGGATGATAGCTGAAGGCAGGAATGTGTTTAGCAGGATGATAAGGGAGGAGAGAAGCGATAGCTGCTTCAGGGTGAACAGGTACCCTCCATGTCCAGAGCTGAAAGAGGAAGGTGCACTGAGTGGACGAAATTTGATTGGGTTTGGAGAGCACACAGATCCACAGATAATATCTGTCCTCAGATCCAACAACACATCAGGACTGCAAATCTGTCTCCCAGATGGGACTTGGGCTTCAATCCCTCCTGACCACTCCTCCTTTTTCGTCAATGTTGGTGACCTCCTGCAGGTACCTCCAAACTAAACAAACCCTCTTTCTTCTTTTCTTTTTTAACTGAAGATAAAAACAAAAGGGTAGGATTAATCAGAACAAAAGAAAAGAAAACGTGGAAGAATAACATCAGAAAGTAATTCCATTCTTATAATTTCTAAGAAACTGATAACTGATAGAAGAGAAGACGCATATATATATATATAGAGAGAGAGATAGATAGAGTTTGCGTTTGTGTGTCCTGTCGAATAAAATTATTATCTGATAAGATGATGAATGTGGAGGAAGATATTTATATATTAATTAAATACTTTTTTCATCATATTGTTAGGATAGTTATAATGTATGTAAAATCAACATTATAGAAACGTGTACATAAATTATAATTTCAACACTTATAATGTAATATAATTCAAATAAAATATCAATTTACAAGAAAAAAGTTCATTTTTATATTAATTGTTTTGGACCAAACGGATCGTGTCCTCATAAACTGCCATCAATTAATTTGTTTTTCTCCCATTTTACCTCAGCATTCATGGATATATGCTATTTTATATATATGAACTACCTAAGTATATTATTAAATTGGTAAGGGAAATGATGTAGGTACCTAAACTTTGTTAGATGAAAGTTGAAGAGAATGATGCAAGCATGATAATGTATGAATTTATGAATTTGTAAATCGCAGGTTATGACGAATGGGAGGTTTAAAAGTGTTAAGCACAGGGTATTGGCTAACTCAAGCATGTCAAGGTTGTCAATGATCTACTTCGGAGGACCACCATTGAACGAAAAGATTGCTCCTTTACCTTCACTGCTGTCAAGGGAAGAAGAGAGTTTGTACAGAGAGTTGACATGGCGGGAATACAAGAATGCTGCATACAAGTCAAGGCTCTCTGATAACAGGATCACTCTCTTTCAGAAATCTGCAGATCACGGTCACAAATCTTCAGACACTTAGACTCTACTCTTTACTATTATTTGCTTCCTTCTTTCCCTTTAGATACATCATTTTATACTATTATATGCTATATAATAAACTTTAATTTCCTTTGCCACCCAATTTAGTATGATTTTTTTTTTTTTTAACTGCAAGTATTGATCACCGAGAGCAGTTTAATTTTTGTGTCTTTTTGTTAATATAAAAATGTATTATTAAATCAGAGAATAATGATAGGATAAGAAAAATTTTAATAAAGGAATAAAAGAATTACAATAGCAGTGTTCCATAACATAACATAATTCATATCAAAACGTGTGTTTACGATTTTTTGTTTTGGCGTCTGAGAGCGCAAGACACATAATTAGGTGCATGATGTTTTGTATATATCAGTAAGGAGTTTTATGCTTAAATAAATGAACAATTCTTGCCCTAAATGCCTTGTTAGTTTAGAAACTCAATTATATAGCGATAACCGTTTACTTGAAAAATGGTGCAAGAAAAAGTTGAATTATGAAGCTAAAAAGTTCAGGATTAAGCAAGTAAGCCAGCTATATATATCATTCACACAAAGCACTCGTTATTTAACATTGTATCATCATATTTAAATAAAATAATGTATTATAGCTTTTTTAAATAACTATTATATGTATAATTTCAAAATTTCTCGTATTTTATACATAAAATACAAATCATAAACTAATATTCAAGATATGTAATATTAATAGTATGATTGATTTTTGTTAATAATCTAAAATTGTAATTGATTGTTTATTTTTAATCAATTTTCAATTATATTTTTATCCAAATACTTCTAATATAAAATATTTTAGCACCAAAATTAACAAATAATAATTGTGGCTACCAATTAAACCTATCATGACAATGTTAAGATGTCGTGTCAGCATTAAGTCTTTTGCAAACATTTTTATATTGAATTTGTAGTCCTATAAGAACTTTATAAAATTCCATTCTAACAAAAAGATTGTTAAGATTTGTGGTTTAACTCAAGTCACATGAAATTTGTCACAGAAAAATATACTATCAAATCGGGTAAATATATATATATATATATATATATATATATATATATATATATAAAATTAAACCTATTATAATTAGTTACTAATTTAATTTTAATTATTTTAATTGCATAAGATTAAATGAGTATATATTTCTTGTGTCTACAATCTCTCCGGGCTACACTTTATAGATGTTTTAGGAAAACAAGTTTTTCCAAATTAATTATCGTTTTACAAAATTAATCATTCATTAAACATATTTTTTTAGGACAACTCTTTCAAAAGTAAACCGGGTATTTAATTAGAAATATAAAATAACTAAATTATTATATTTGGATAAATTTAAATTCTTTTATACACTTCAAAACCTTAAATGTGTCTTTCTCTAATCTCATGAAATACGATACATTTTTAATAGACGGAAGGCGTAATTGGGTGGACCAAAAACGAAGAAAGAGATAAAAAAAAAAAAAAAGAAAAAAAGAGAAGAGACGATGAATAACGTAATAGAAAAGAAAAATAATATATAAATTTAAAGTTGAGAAATATCAAAATGTTTAGTTGTCAATTCGTGAAAAACTATGAAAATGAGGTTATGATTTAGCCGACAGAACATTTGTTCTCATAAGTCAACAAAAGAAGAAGCTTCTGATAACAAGAACCACAAAAAAGATATTATAAGAGAGATGAAGAGGGGGTCAGAGACACATAACATAAAAGACATAAAGTAAATACTTTTATCGTTTAAAAATGGTTAAAAATGTTAACGGCTATTACTATTTAAATTTAAAATGCTTGCAGATTTACATAGATTATTAACAAAATCTAAATTCTTCAGAAAGAAAATTATATATTGGTAAGATGTATTATACATATTTCAATTAATGGCCTTTTACATCCTTATTTCATGACAGAATTATTAAGAACAACTTTTAATCAGTAATTATCGTGATTCATTTAATTAAAACTGTATAGATATTATGATCAAATATTTTTTTTTGTTTAATATGAGTTTTTTTTTCGTATCAACTTTTACAAAAATATGGTAGTACTTTTAAAATTAATATTTTTTATTTTATGACGTAATATATATATATATATATATATATATATATATATATATATATTCTAGGATTTAATTTTTCTTGTGTGCATGTGGAATTTTTCATTAAACGATGATCAACACGATTTTAAGGATATTTTCAATGATATTTTTCAGTTAAGAATTTTGGTGTTTTATGTGTGATTAAGGTTAGTGAAATATAACTCTATTTTTATTGAAATTGAAATTGAAATTATTTTTTATATTCAATTATGATAATTATGAATGTCTGTATTAAATTGTTGTTAAATATTTAAATAAAATAAAATAGAAGAGAAACAACCAAATAAAAAAAATGTTTTGAGAAAACAAATAAAAAAGAAAAACAATTAGAAAGAAGTCTACTCACCATCATTGCCAAAAAAACCTAAAAAAATAATTATAAATCTCACAAATGATTATTAAGGGTGAGAAAATAAATCATCTCAAAATACAAATATAAATTTACATTAATTATAAATTTTAATACTTTTTATTAATATCAAAATTTTAATAGAAATAAAAAATTAAAATAACAACAAACGAAGTACATGTTCCGATTTATTTGAATTTTTTAATATGAATATTCTGTAATGTTGTGATTTGATCTTTATTGGGTGAGATTTTGTGAAGTCATAATTGTTGTGTTTTTGATACTATTTTTTTCATGTGAAGTAAGATATCCTTTGTGTCCAGAAATAAAAATGTTTGGTCCATTACAGTGGTCGTGCCATAAGGGGATATAAGATGAAACAGAAAGGTCAAATGCATTAAAAGAAGGTGATGACTAATGGACAAAAAATCAATCATAAACTGTGTCAGAACCTGTTGGACAACGGTTGTGAATCATTCATCATTTCATCGTTTCAGAAAAGTATGCCTTAAAATATGATTATACCACAAATGTCAAACTAGTAAAGTTGTAATTAAGCTTCAAATTAAACAGTTAAGATGAGAATAAAATCATTGCACAAAATAAAAGGGTTTGGAGATACGAGTCAAAAAGCTGCAATAACACATATTCTAGTTACCACGGTAAGGTAATACATATTATCATAATCACATAAATTAAATATAAAATTTAAACGTAATATAGTTTTATTTTGTTTTTATTTTTAAAAATTTAAATCAAACTAAATTAATATTTTATAATTTAATTTTAACAATTTTCTATTTTTGCTATTTTAAAATAGTTAAATATATTATAATGAAATCATTTTTAAATAAAAAATATATCTTAAAATTTTTCTTCATAATTAGTTATAATACTTATAATTTTAATTTACTTTCATATATTTTTATATTTAATTTAAATAATGATAATAATATATATTTTAAATTATAAAAAATAATTTATTTACTCATAATAGGTGTTATATTATATTTTAATTTTAGTAATATATATTATAATTAATTTAAGATTATTATTGATTATTAAATCAAAAATTGATTTTAAAAATTTCAAATCTAAAAAATAAAATAAAATAAAAAATTATCTTTTATTAATTTTAATTTTAACATCAATGGAGATCAAATAATGAGAAGATCTCATTGGATATAAATTATTGATGAGATCTTATATATATATATATATATATATATATATATATATATATATATATATATATATATATATATATATATACATATATAATTTATATCTAAATTTGGTCATCATTTATACTCTAATAATCGTTTTCTTAAATATAGCTTGCTTCCACATAACATGTTTAGTTATCATAACCAATGTACTCTTACAAACTTTTATCACCATTAATACACAAATGTCATTTATCTCCACGCGACATGATTCTAATAGTTCCAAAAAATCGTATGAGTTAAAATTGTAAGTGGTATAAAAATAAAAATTAAAATTAAAATTAAAATAATATGATTGGGAAAAAAAAATCAAAATATTAGAGTTTAAATGAGTTGAAGTTGTATGTTATATAAAAATGCAAAAGTTGAAATATATATATACAAAGAAATTATCCATAAAAACTTAAAAAAGTAACATGCAACAATAAAAGAAAGAGTGACTAAGACTAGGACTAGGGTACCCAATAATTTAGAGAAAGACAAAATACACATAACTAGGTTATTCATCCTCCCACATGTGAGAAAAATAAGTCATCATGGCATATTATCTAAATCTTAATCACATCTAATTATAATATTCTACATCAACATCAACATGCCTTTTATCAAAGATAATTTTGTTTTTACCACAAACCATATCACCATCTAGAGTAGGGTGGGTACAAATCCATGAACCATCCGAAATTGACTAATCCCAAAGGGTAAACCATGATATTGCTCGTTTCCTGAATTGAAATATCTTCGGATATAAATGTTTTATTTGTTTAAAGAAAGGGGAAAAAATTGTAAATGTAGATTATTGATGAATATTATTGGGAGTGTTTTCCATAAAGGAAAATATTAAAAAAAAAAACTAAACCAATTAAATTATTATTATTCTAAAAAAAAAAAACTCTGGTACCAAACACTCTAAAAAACATATATTTTAAAAAAAATAGTAAAAAAATAACGACTAAATTTTGGACAATTTTCTCCAAATATTATTAATACACACTACTGTAAATATAATTAACAACGACGATTAAAAACGACTGATTTAATTAACTTATCATAAGGTTTTTTATAATGATTGTAAACCATTAGAAGGGTTGTGACGAGATGAATTCCTTGAGATTTGTCTAGGTTTTTCAACTTGTCCAAAAGAATAGTGGTAATTAACTTATTAAGGAACAAACTTGACTCAAAATTTGCTTCATATAAAAATGATTATAAAATTTGTTATGTGTTGGGGAAGTTATTGAAGTTCATATATTGGGGAGTTGTGTTTTGTAGACAAATTAAGAACCCAAAATGTCTGGGAAATGGAATGTCTAAAAGATTAGGTGGGGTAGCAAGTATTTGCAGTTATACGAACAACATAGTCGATGAAGGAATTTTGGCAGAGTAAAAAGGAAACATACTTTCGGAGAGAGAGAAAGTGAGGTCTCAGTAAAGATTGTGGTGGGGGCTTAATTGATGCGTTAATTCATAGATTAGTAGTAAGATTCTTCTGGGAGTACAGAAATGATGAAAACAATATCTGTTTTGTTGGTTTTGAATTCTCAGGAAGCAAGTGCCTGTGTCAATTGGCTTATTCAAAAAATAATTAATGCTTACAGGTTTTTAACACAATTTTCTAAACCAATATTAATTGCTTTATGATAGACATTTATGGAGGGTTAGACAGGATAATGATTATTAAAAACGGATTGGTAATCAAATCCAACGTTTACCAAGATTTAACAGAAATTAAATTGGGTTTAACAAGATTTAATAAAATAATATATTTTAATAATATAATAATATATTAACTTTAAAATAAATTTATCACATCTTAATAATAATTTTAATATAATATACATATTATTTGAAAAAATATTATATAATAATAAGAATAATTTGGAAAATACATTAAGAAAAATAATAAAATAAATATATCATCAAATATCTGAAATACAGAACAACAAGACAAAAAATTGTCGTTCTACCTAAATTTAAAATAATTAGGAGAAAAAAACTATAATGAACTTGAAAACAATTAGAAAAAAAAATTACATCTAACTTAATTAAGGAAAAAAAATTATATTATATTTTCTATTGTATCTAATTTCAAATTTTATATTATTTATTTTATTTCAAAACATGATTATGAAATTTAAGGATAATTCATTGTCCACTCGTTAAATTAATTTTTAAATTAAAAAATTGTGATTCTTATATTATTATATTTCTATGAATGATTATAGTAATGATAATAATAAATAATAATAATAACAAAGACAACAGATAATAATTAACGATAATTATGACAGTTATAAGAATAAAAATAATAAATAAAAAAAGAATATCATTTTCATTATAAAAAATAACTTTTTATTTTTACATTTGTGTGTCTTTATATTAAATTAAAGAAAAATAAACATAAAATGAAAGCATTTACCTCTTAAAAAAAAATTCAAATAATTTCTTAACTGTTTGATTTCACCCATTTTCCAATTTTTAACCCTTTTTCACCAATTTATTATTTATTCATTTTTTTATAAAACTCCGAATAGACGAATTTCCCATCCAACCGGTTAAACCTGTCTATCCGATCCGTTGATAACCATGGGACTAACATTCCAAATTTTAATATTGTCGCTATTGTGTAAATTAAAAAGTAAACATCTATTAATTCATAAACCGAATGGAGAGGTCAAATTCTGAATTTTTAATTACTATCTTTACAAGACCAGAATTAAATAACTGCTAAAAGCTTCCATAAAATTTGTAAAGGATGTCCATGAAATTCTGTGCATGATGTCACATGCAACATTCCTGGATATTGCTACTGGTATAATACAACATATATGAAACTTGTATTGATTATGATAATACGTACATATAATGCATCTAGTATAAATAATCATATACTATTATGGAATTAAATTTATACAAGATGCATACATTAATAACAACATATAAATCTTTGGACCAGTATCGTCCTTACTCGTGTATACGTATCTGTTCTAATGTATATCAAGGTAAGTCATAAAAAATCTCCTCATTAACACTTAACTATCAAAGAAACTTAAATATCTAATTTAATAGGTTAACATCATTATCACACTAATCTTATAACCATATCTTCCTTACTACACCTCTATGATTTATGGATAACTATCATAGATTAACTTTCTTATACCAATTTTAAATTTGACTTAATCTCAGATTTACATTTATTTTATTGTATTTGCACTTAATCATCTAGTTCATTTTAAATGTTCAGCCTTATTATGATGATTGTTCTGTTTCTAAAAGGTAAGAAGACTAGCTTAATAGCCCTATTGAATCTTGAATATATAATAGGCACCTTAAAACTAGTTACGAGGACTATATTAAATACTCTTATTTAGGAAAATCTAAGTTCATTTGTCTTATATTTTTAAACAGTGTTTCTTTGGTTGAATAGACCCTTTTACCTATTTACGCCATATTGTGCATATATTTTCATTGGCATATTTTTGTAATATTAGCATACAATCATAATTAGAATTACCCGTTGAACCGATCTATATTTCGAATAAACAGATCTCATTTTTTGTAATAATGTTATTATGGTATCAAGGTTTTTCCTTTTTTTTTTCTTCCCCACTAAAGTTGTTTGTCCCAACCCACTCAAACATTTCCCAATTGCTTCCACCTCCATCATTTCTTCTTCTTTAATGATCTTTCTCCCATAAAACCTAATCAAATTAATGTTAGAAATAATTTAATTAATAACATTAATTTAATTAATTAATTATATTATGTGACTTATGTGAAATATAATTATGGGTCAAAATGTGATTTAATAAAATATAAATAAGGACCTAGTGATTATTATGAGAAATTAGAATAAAATAAAGATAAAATAAAATAAAAATTTACCATAATCAACTTAATGAACGTTGATTAACAAAGGGGATTATGATTTTGTCTCTGTCCATAAGGTTATTTTCACAGTAAACCATTAACAAAATGTGACAAGAGAAAAAAGGGTAAAAAGATAAATTAGGAAAAGAACATTAGATAACAAAGATATTAAAAAACAAATTCTTATAAATTAAGGTTAGTCTTTTTATTATAATTCTTGTATGTTATTATGTAAAAATTTAAGAATATAAAGATTAGGTAAAATAGAGTAATTTTCTAAAATGAATGAGAACGTAAAAAAATTTCATAATTTATTTATAATTAATTTTTTTTTTAAATCAGAATGGGTAGTGAGAATATTTTCAACTATAAATTTCTTTGATAGTTTAATAAATTAAAATTGTTTAGAAGAATATTAATTTATTGAATATAATAAAATACATAGTTCAATCCTATAAAAAAAAAAAACAGTTTACTACTCCCAGAGTTTTGTATTAAATTACTTTCAGTCGCCCAACTTTTGAAAATATTGGATTGATGTGATTCAAAGACCCTACAAGCACAAAGTGATGTCCATAATTTATCAACTTTATTGTTTATCTTTGGTCTCGACACTGCATCTTTGGTGCGGATTCTATACTTAGATTATGTGGCACAAATCATCTTTACTTCTTCAGTACCAACACATTAGAATGATTAGATTAAAAAGTAGCTGTTAATGGGACTAGATGGGCCCTGTTAGACACAGTTTAGTTAGATGACACATGACTCAAGTTTAATTTAACTTTAATTTAATATTGTTGATTAAATAAACAAGTAGGGTGCCAACGTGACCTGTTGGGTCAGATTGAGTTTAGCTTTAGTTCAACACATAAATTAATTAGACAAACAACTTGGGTCAGGTTTAATTTAACTTTAACTAAATTTGATTTGATCAACAAGTTGGATCAGGTATAATTAAACTTTAATTCAACTTAATTTCATTACATCAACAAGTTGGGTCAGGTTTAATTAAACTTTAACACAACTTAGTTTGTAAGATGAACAAGTAGGGTGTTAATGTGACTCTTTCTGTCAGGTTTAGTCAACTTAATTTGATTAGATAAGGTCTTAATTATGTGACTTGTGGGTCAGGGTTAATATTAATTAGCTTTAACTTGTAGAAGTTTTATAGGTTAATTTCTTGAATTTGATTTTAAACAAAGTATGCACATCTCAATAATTATTAATGTTACGTACAATTATTTGATAAATTTTACATATAAATATAGGCTAATCATAATTGCTTCCTCCCCGATTAAATGTTTTTCTCTTGGATTATTCTAGTTAACAAAAAATTATAAGTTGTTATACATTAAAACTGAAATCTATTTTATTTGTTAAAGATCAAAGTTGATTTGATATAACATGGTTTTTGTAAGTTTAAGTGTAACCCAATCCTAAAAGATTAGTTTATAAGATAAAAATTATCCTTTTCTTGTTTTAATTAAGTTATATAATTAACTTAACAGAATTTATAACACATCTCTCGCATCAAATCCTGCGATCTAAAGTTTGCATTATTATTAATAATATGATCTAATAAACATCCCATTATATAAATTCAACCACATTCTAATATAATATTAGATAAGTAAATTTAAAATTTAAAATTAGAGGTCTAAAGATCTAATATAACAAACCAGAAAAATAAGTTAGGTTGAGAAAAAAATAATTATTAGCTAAATTGAACTGAATTTTTGGTCTTAGTCAATTTAATTTATGTACCACTTTATAAAATAAAATTATTTTTAAAATAAAAATTACATTATTTTATTAATAATATTGTAAAATATACATCAAATAATTATATATAAAATAAAAATTAATTTTATTAATATAACTTAAATTATTTTAAATATATATATAAATTTTTATTAATTTTTATTTTATTTTTTGAATTAGTTTTTTAGACAAATATAATTTTTATATGAACAAATTATTATTTTTTATTTTCAGTAATAAAAAATTATCCAAAGTTGATATCTCCGTCCTCCAATCCCGTTCTAAAAGAAAATTAGAATTCATTTTAGAATATAAATCAAATTAAATGTCGATTTTATTTTACTTTCCATATAATATTAAAACAATATTAATCGAATAATTTTTAAGTAAAACTAGTCAAATTTTATAAAAGGGTAACTATATATTAAAAACACCCAATAAATCATTGTTGTAATAATATATTAATTGATAGAATAGAATATATACAAATTATCTTTATTCTGATAGGAGATTTATAAATATATTAAATAATAATAATAATAATAATAATAATAATAATAATAATAAATTATTTATTGGGTGTTTTTTTCAAAACGTAGATATATCATTTTTCTTTATAGAAATAGACATAATAAGAATTGTGTCTATTAACAACATTATTTATAATACACGTAGCATTCGTTTTTCCAGCTTTTAATAACTTTTTGTAAGACTCCATAAGAATAAAATAATTCTCTAACATGTGCACATGGGTGTGTTCAGAAAGGAAAGTGGAGCATGTATCTCTTCCTCATCATGGCTGGTGTTTGATTCATCAAGTTTATGGTTTTCATGTAAGTGAACTCCGATGAAGATTCATCATGAACATGGGGAGGAGTATATTGTACATGTTCTCTTGAACAAAAATTTGTCTCTTATAAGAATCCATCTTATATATTATTCTACACTTATTTTCCTTTTAAGTAAGAAAAAGATGAACAGATATAATTTGTGTGTTCTGATTGACACGAAATGAACAGTGTGAAAGAAAAAAAAGGAAATAACAATAATTCTCGTTAGGGACTTCAAATGGAAATGACTTGACGGGGTCTCTATGCCCTCTGCTGTTGTCACAAATAATTGATGGAGTAAAGATGGATTCATGTGTAGTTGCATGTTTGCTTTTGAGCTTACATGCATACCCCGCTTCCAAAGAATCCTAAGCCACTACGTTTGGATAAAGATCCCGTAGATGCATAGTAATAATTCCCCAAAACTCTTCTACTTCTATGTTTCGATTTCGTGTCTTGGATCTTCCAAGCCTTCATTTGGCACTGCATGAACCTCAACTGCAACACATGCATGCCAAAGACAGAGGGATAAACATTGTTGTCCTCTCATGTGCACCCTCATCAATTACACGTATGAGTTCGTCTTTCAAAAACAACACACAAAATGCCATTACTTCATGATAAACAGTATGCTAAAAAATGTATTATTGGTGGCATGCCATTGTTATTGTCTTATCTTATAATCCTACTACGTACAATATCTTAAAGGAGTTGTTGATTCAGAGTTTATACATATATCTGATTAAATATTTTTAATTGCATAAAAGTACGTTCACGATAACTTTTCTTTTTAAGTTTATACTTTAACTTCTTTTCCAACAACAACAAAAATGCTACTTCTGTTTCCTCACTGATAAATAGGTTATTTTTGCATTTTCAGAGAAGGGGTTTGAGAATTGAAGTGCATGCGAAATTTGTTGTTTTTGGAAAAAAATCTCTTAGAAATAAAGTGAAAATGTATAAACTCTCTGAAAATATTCAATGTATAAACTGTCTCAAAATATTAGCATTTTAATTGTTAGTTCAATACTTCATTAGCTACTGAAAATATTAAATAACCATTAATTACTCAAAATAATGATTTATTTTATAAATATATTTATAACTATCACAAGATGGTGATTTATTTTTCTAAACAATCATTTTCATTGACACTTCATCAATATTTCTCATAACAAATATCACTGTTTTCAACACTGCAAAAATCTCGTACCTTTACAAATTTTTATTAGATTAATGATTTTTTAATATTGGTCCCATTTTAAGAAAATAAATATATATTTTTGTCTTAATTGTAACAAACATATAGACTAATTTTCAGACTATTAATTTGTATAAAAAATGCATTTTTTTAATTTCTTAAAAAGTCTTTTAGTTGAGATTCTCACCCATTCTTCCAACAAATGGATAGAGTAATACTAACCATTCTTACAACATCTTTTAATTTAAAACACACATTGATGGTAAAAGGTACGACTTTGAATCATAAATAACATTATTAAAATAAAACCACTTATATTATTTAACTAATTATGAGCACATGAAATGAAACCTAATTTCATGATACAATAAACTAAGATTAACTAATTTAATCATTTTACTGATCAGGACAAATTTGTTACTTATTTTTTATGTAAAGAACCGGATTACGTCGTAATATATATGTAATATATTATAAAATATACTTCAATAAACAAATAAAATCTAAAGTTTTAATTAATAACCCAATAATATATGAATCTAAATTAATAAATTTTGATATATGTTACCACTAGTGCATGCATAATATCGAAAAGGTAATATATATTGATAACTCTATTAGTAAATAAAGATAACATAATATAATAGTATAATAATAATAATAATAATTATTATTATATTATATTATATTTAAATTATATAATGATATTTTTCACTTGTCTATGTATATTTTTCCTAATGAAATATGCTCATAACCATAAGAATGTATTGCATTTGAAATTGAAATAACTAATACATGGAAGATGGCTATTTTCAATTAATATGAATGAATGGACTAAAGGGTATATATAACAAAGTTAGTTGTTAGCTTAGCTATGAGTTATTGTAAAATTTTCATATTCTTTCCTATGGATGAAAACAAATAAGAATGCATGGTAAGCACATACTTCCTGAAATAGAAGGATTAAGAATTATATATGGTAAAGATAAATCTAGTTATATAAAATCTATAAGATTTAGATAGTTTTTTTTACAAATTTAGTCATGTTTAGTGTAATAAATTATTAATGATTGAGTCTATCTGATCTTGACCTCTTTGGCCCTCTTCCAAACAATGGGAAAGTTCAGTATTCTGTGGTTTTACTTCCCCGACATGAATTGGTAGAGATCGATCGATGATGTTTGTGAATGAAAGTGACACAAAAGTGGGCATGCATCACTTAGGTAATGTAATTCAAAGAGATGTAACCCCTTGGTCTCAGTTTTGAACTGATAATAATGCATCATTTGGCTGACAGAAACTTAATTTCAGGAACTTTTTGGCTGGAGTCAAGTTGATGAATTGATATGATAAAATCAAGCTAGATTGCTCCATGTTTAACTTCAAGTAATTGTCGGTTTATTTCAAAAATCTTTAAAACCTTGATGTTAGGACCGTAATTTCAGTTCAGAACCCTAGGTCTAGAACACATACCTAATCATGCATGCAAGTTGGTCACTTGGTATTAAGGAGTTTGTTAATTCCTTGTCTGCGATTCTATACACATCACTGATAACCAGGGACCATGGTGATTAGGATAATTTCGGCATCTTTGAAAAATATCATCCTGCTTTTCACATTGTTTGCCATATTCATTGAACTCACTTCATTCCTGTGAGGACAAACAAGCTATCGAGCAATTCAACAGTATAATGCAATCGCATATCATTTCACAGACAATTATATGTTATCATCAAATTGTATACTAGACTTTACAGTAGGGTCATTTTTTTGGATTTGTCCATAAGTCCCCACTCCAAAAGAAGATAAGGGAGGAAAAGATTGACAGACAGAAATGATTATGTAGAATCCCTAGGCTGCTTAATGTCAGTTTTCTTTATGGTAAAACTGATGACAGTTTAGTTAACTTAAACTTTATCCATACTCAGTTATTTTCTTCTCTCCTTCCTTCAAAAGACTCCAACAAATGTGTTATAGTTAAAATTATAAAAGAGATGCATTAGAATTCAGGTTGAAGTCTTTAGAAGGAGGATTTCAAGTTTATAGTAATTTTTATTCAATTTGTTCATATTTACTTCGTTTGAGTAGGTTTTTTCTCACAAACTTGGCCTAATTTTGATATCTTAACCTGCACTACAAAGACATTTGTTGGCATTGTCCTTAAACAAATAAAAAGTTACAAAAAGTATAGATAACACTTGCTTCACGGGGTCCATTCAGAATGAGAGATAACGAAATTTATGTAATTTGTCTGTCAGCTGTCATATTGCTATTGCATCAGAAGTTTACATGCCTCAGCATTCATTTCAATTTGACAGAATCAATTATTTTGGTAAGAACTAGGCTCATTAATTTAGTCCATGAGACAGTTCTACTTTTCTATGTTCCCCGGGTCCATTTTGTAGTTAGGTAACCGTCAAAGACGATAATGCTTTAGGTGCAACTCTTATCAGAGTTCTTCTGATATTATACAATCAAGTATAGGTTCAGTGAGTGTTAACTGTTCTCAGTATACTTTGCTTCCGAGTAGACAATCGAGTAGACATTTTATCGGACTGTTGCAAGAGCCTCCACAACTTATTAATTTATGTCAATTACATAGGACAAAATAGGTTTTCTTTCCATCATGCCCTCTTTCTTAAAATTGATAAAGTTTAAGGTTGAATAAAACAGGACGTAAATAGAACATCTTGGGGTGGGGATTTTTGAAAAATGTATATGCGCATATTGTTTCTATTTTTAACCTTAATTTATCTAATGTTAATTTGGTTCCTAAGATGAAACCATATATATGTATATGTTCTCACTCTTCTCTGCTTAATATTAAGCCTTTTTGCACCGCAGCGTTTACGTAACTACAGAAATCTTTGTAAACAAAAGTAACTTTAGAAAGTACCAGGAGTTCTTGGTACAAGATAGTTTTGTAACTTGGAGTACTGAGAGAAAAGAAAAAGACTTCGTATATATGCTTTTGTTCATCTTATTAAGAACAGTTATCTGCTTCATGGGATGTCTCGGTAATGTCATTGTCTAGTTTTTCTATTATGTTTTGGTTTAGTATATATATTTATTATCATTGAAGAATGATTTGAGAGGATTAATTCAAGTTAACTGTATGAATTTGGTTTACATAATTTGAGAAGATTTGTAGAGAAAGTTTAAAGGTTAAAATAGGGTATGAGGTGAGGTAAAAATGAGCCATTTGCATAGATTGGGAGTAAAAAACAAATTTGACCCCAAAGACAAATTATCCAGAAAAAAAAAAGTTTATATTTAAAAAGATGTATAATTTGAACTTTTGGTTTGATAGATTGATAGATTAAGCAAGAGAAATCAAATAGGTTAACGGACCTTATAGTTTGAAGCTTTGAGTTTTGGTACGTACCTTAGTTTCTCTCTTGAGTTTTGGGTTGTGCCCTATGTCCTTGTTTGGCAAAGAGTGATAATGATGTGTGTGGATGGAGACTCTTCACTTTTTTATTTTTATTTTATATTGTTCACTTTTTATCGTATCATATATAATATATCTTTTGTCTTTTTATTTTGTGGATGTCAATTATAACATCTAGGCCTTTTTACAGGCAAAACAAGTGCAGTATTCCTCTTGGTGGAGCAGATTCGTGTTGGTTTTCTCAAACTAGTTATTATACTTGTAACCACATCTATTGCTTTTTTATGATACAACTACATGTAACCCTAGATACCACAAAAATATTTCAAATATGAAAAATTGATCTCTTGAGTCCAATTTAACCCTTTTGTTCATCTTCACTAGTCCGATAGATATTATAAAAATATTCAAAATTTTATCAATCGATCTTTTAGTCCAATTTAACCTTTTTGTTATCTTCACCTAAAAACAGTGTTAATTCTCCTCACCTTGGTTTTAGTTTGAAATAGTTTTTCATTAATTATAATGTCCTTTGCTTAAAAACTGAAGAAATAAAATTACATCTAAACTTTGTGGTTGGGAATAGCCGTAGGAAGACAATGATCAGAATGTAATGATAAAAAAAAGGTTAATGATATAGACATAAGAATGATTAATTAGGCAAAAAATTCTTTTATTTATTATAATTTAATTATATTCCTAATTGTAAGGATTTCCACATTATTTATGTGAAAGATATGAATGAATTTTAATTTCTAAAATAGGTACATGATTAATATGGAGACTTTGTGATACATGAGAAAGTAATTATTATGTAATATTGCATAAGATCATTTTGATAAACTTTGACTTCTAAAAGATAAAAATAAAAGAAAAATATAAAATTTTTATCATAAATTAATCTATGAAAATTATTTCATAGAGTTTTTTTAACTTTTGTATACATTAATTTTAACTTGCCGATAAAATCATTTTTGTTTTCTTTCTTATTTTTCTTTTCTACATAATTTTATAAGAAGAAAAAAAATGCATTTTTCCAAGGCTGTTGTTTCCTACAGCCCCATAATTTCTCCCTCCATTCTTATAATTAAATTAAATATAATTTTATCCTTATACTTATCTTTCTTTTTCCTCTATGGAATGCATTTTGGATTGGTATTTTTGAAAACACATTTTAGAATACTCCATCTGGAATGCATTTTCAAATTGGATTTTTTAGAATTCAACCTCATTTTTACGATATTATTTCATATTAAACAATTTTGGTCTATTTATACTATTTGAGTATAAAAACATGTAATTCATATATAATATTAATGATTATTTACTTTTAATTGTTAGAAAGGGTCTTCAATAGAGGTGAGAGCACAAAAAAATCAAATAGCCAAAGGATGGAGACGCAGAAGTTATATACAAATAGAAGAAGTTAGAGTAAAAATCAAAATTATGAGAAAAGTATTTTAGATATTTGACTTGGAGTAAGAAGGTGTAGAAAGAAATGATGGGGATTCAGGAAGCAAGAGACTTTTTCCAAATATGCCCTTAATAGTAAGTGATTATATAACAAAGGCTCAACATATCAACTAGACTTTGTACCCAGCTATTGGATCCAATTTGGCCCATATCTAAAAAACAAAATACCAAAAAAAAAAAAAAGAATAATCATGGTTACTATGAGAAAACAAGTAGCTACTTAAAATTTCTAATTAGTTTTGTTATTCCAAACTTCAAATTAGTTTAAGGCTCTTTAAGAAAATTATACATTTTAAAAATTATTTAATATTGAGTGATATATTTCATTTTCATAATTCTTTAATGAGTCCTTTTTGTGTGTCATTTAAAAAAAAAAACATGATTATTTTGACAATTTTTTAAAACTTTTAAAATTACCTCTCACGTTATCTATTACTAGTATAAAAAAATATTTTTAATAGCTGAGATTTTTGAAATATGAAAATGAACTTATATTAATCCTTAAGGAGTCAATTTAAAAATTATTCGATAGATCGTTCCGCCTTTCAAAATAAATAACACCTTTTATTGTCTTGATTTATATTTTTAATTCATTAAAAGTTAATAAAAAATAATACTAAATTACAGTTTCTGATCCAAACTCTACAATTTGACAAACGAAAATATGATTTGAACCGAACACAAGAAACACACATACCCAATGAAACTGGGCCGATAACCATGTTAAAAGTAAGCTCATAGCACATGCTATTCACACATTATTTTTTATGTTATATACACTTTTTTATATATTATTATACACATCATCTTATGGTTTTGATGATCAAATTTGAGTTAAGATTAGAAATAGTTTAATGGATATAATGTTTGAAATTTTACTCAGTAAGTTTAAAAGAAATTATAAATTAAAAAGTTATTCAAACTTTATTTTTACAAAGTTATCATCTCTTTATAATTTTCTTTTTTGTTTTCTCTCTAATTTTTTCCCTTTTTATCTTTTTTTTTTCTTTTTTTTTTCTAATCCAAACACGTCTTAATACCCATAAAATAGAGTAAATAAATTTGATTTAATCAAAATTTTAAATAGAGTAAGTTTCTCATTCTTCAATTTTAAAGCATTTTTACATGTTGAGGGGTTAGGATTCCATGCAAGCCCAGGATGCTTGCATATAAACTTTGTTAGGAAAAGATAAAACTTGATTAGTTAGGAGCATGTTCAATTTTTTAATTTTTTTTTTTTTGTGAATATGATTTGTCTTTCTACAAATTTAGGAGCTTTGAGATTTCTCTAACTTAGAAGTATTGGGTTTGAGATAAGAGAAGTTAGTTAATTTTTAATTTGAATTGATTTGCACTTTAGACTATGGTGTTTAGATTTAACTTGATTTGAAACATTAAAAATAAGATATTAAACAAATTATGCAATTTGATATTGTTATATAATTCTATAACAAATTTAATTTCACTCAAAGGATGCAAGATAGTGTTAAAAACTTGTTTTGTTGAATGCTTTTAAATTCATCCAATGAATTTGGGATAGTGATGAAGGTTAAGTTATGTGAAAACTTCACTTAGTCAAATGTTATTTCACTTAGTGTAAATTTGATAGAAATGAATACTAGAACTTGAAATCCGCTTAATTCTTTAAAATTACTCAATTGTTTTTTGTAAAAAAAAAAATTCTCACAATATTAAAGGGTTTAAAAGGTATCTCTTTAATGAAATCAAATTATTTTTTATATCCTTGTATTTAGAATGTTAAGTTAAATACTCAACCGATTAGATGATGTTTTATTTTAAAATATGTTAGAGTGAGATATACATGCTATTCTTTGGTGTATTTATAATGATGTGTTGTGATATGAGAAATACTAAGAAATATCTTGATTTGGGACTCGAGGTGATATATTCTTTTTAATCATTAGTATCACATAAATGAAAGGATCAAGTAGTGAGAGTTGAAAGAAATTTTTAATGAAAGACATAATTTATGTCGGATATTGACACACCCAACTTAAATTTCACCCTTTTTTTTATATTTGCTTTGTTGTCTTACAACAAAAATCTGCATACATATTTTTAATACAAACATTCTAGATTCTAGATTCCATAAAAAATAATAATTTAAAATATAACAATACAATATAATACATAATATAAAAGCTAAACTATTAAAACTAAACTACTTAAAAACTAAACTAGTACATAGACTAAACTACTTAAAAGCTAAACTAGTACAAAAACTAAATTATTTAAATGTTAAACTACATAATACAATACAATATAATACAAACAATAATATACAAACTAAGAACTAGAATTTTGAACATAAAACCTTACCCATTACTTTATAATTTGTATAATATCATGTCCTGAAAATAGAGATGAATCTTGAAAGACTTGAAACATTAATTTGACATTCGTTAACATGCAATATGCATAAAGTTAAATGAACATAATAAATGTTGAAAGGAATTACCTCCGTCCAATAATCATTTATACCCGCATAAACTATGACTCTCATCCAATACATAATGTAATAGTCATATTCATAGGAGTTTGTTTACTTATTACACTAAAATGAGAAAGAAAACATAATATTATTTTCAAAATTTATATACAAAAAATAATTATGATGTTCATATAAATAAGTTTCTAATCTTAGGATAAATGAAATGCAAATTCTTTGTTACGGGTGTTTCACTTAAAACATTAATTCCATACATAATTCTAATTGAAATAAGGAAGATATTATTCAATATATTTACCTTTTTACAACATAATAAAAAAAAGAAGATAAAGTTACCCTTGTAATAGACTTTTCATTTCTTGACTTGGTTTTTAGTGCAATAAACAAAACCACACCATACCGTAATCCTTAGGAATGATTACAATTAATTTCCAATGGGACCTATAATGACATAAAAATTAGTTATAAAATTAACATGATTAAAAAATAAAAATAAAAATATTAATCCTTCAATGTATGAAGCTAACATGTCTTTATGAGTTACTTATCCATGTTTGCATATATTGCTCGGATTCCGACCTTCGTATTTCTAGATTTTTGGATGGATTGAGACTCAATAAACCCATATACTTCAGAATTTTTTTACTTCATACTCAATTTGTCAATGTACCTAACATAATGAATTATAAGTTAAATATAGTTATTATAATATTAGAAACATAAATAAAAATTACTTATATGACCTACAACTGTATGTTGAAAATTTTTAACATGTAGTTTCTCCCAGCAATTTCCAATATATCGGACAAGGAAATGTACAGTGAAACAACAGAATTGTCAACTCCAAACACTCTGGCGTCCTACCATATCTGAGACGGTCTTTTTTTCAACCGTGGTAATATGGTCAAAAGCATAAATATGTGATCATCCTTAGATTTTGTATGTCCTCATCAATAATAGGTTCTATCCTATGATTAGCATGAATAAACTCCTAAACAAATGATAAAAATCGATTACACATTCATATAATTATAAGAATAGAAAATAAATAATATATACATTACATTTAACTGTGTTGAGAGTGACACCAAATGTCTTGGCTAAGCCAATAATATATTGCTTGTCTTCCCCATTAGTTGAATCTCTGCATTGGACAAAGGCACTAGATGTCAAAGTGACCCAAATAATACTTCATCCAACGGTCATGATCAAATTATTTCTACACTCAGCATCTGTCAAAGTGACCAAAGCGGTTCTTCATCCAACGATCATGATAAAATCAAGCATGTGATTAACATTTGTACAAAAAGCCAATGTTGTAGTTTCAGTTCTAAAATAGGTTACCACTTTAGGGTAAAGATAAATACCTTTTTATTTCTTCTCTGTAAACATAGTTTTTCATCTAATCTTTTCATTTCTTTCACTCTTTCTTTTCTCTTATTCCTTTCCATCTCTCATGGCTATCTTCAATGCTAAGCTTCCACAAAGGGTCAATAATTATTTTTTGCATTGCAACCAGGTTTATTAAGATGGTATCAGAGCACTTCTTTTGAAGAGCTCTGTTGTGCATCACTCTGACTTTTCCCTTTTCATTTCCTTCGTGTTCTTGTTTTGTCTCTTTTCTTGCTTCGTTTCTTTTTCTTTTTCTCTTTCCCTTTCTTTCCATGCCCATGCCAGATGAATCCAAGAACAATGCTAGGATTAATGATTTTAACGCACCACATAGTTTTCTCTATCTTCATCCCATTGAGAATGCAACGATTTCCCTCGTTTCTCTTGTTCTGGAATCGCACAATTATCACTCTTGGAGCAAGTCGTTTCCTACTACTCTCAGTGCGAAGAATAAGATGGAATTTATTGATGGTATCGCTCCTGAACCAGCCAAGACTGATCCCACATACCAAGTGTGGAAGAGGTGTAATAACATGGTTGTATCTTGGTTAGCCTATTCTGTTTCACCTTCAATCAGACAAAGCATATTGTGGATGAACAATTCTGAAGATATATGGAAAGATCTCAACTCTAGGTTCTTTCAAGGAAATTTACTTTGTATATCTGAGTTGCAATCAGAGGCTTCCTCTCTTAAACAGGGAAGTTCCTCTGTGACTGAATATTTTACCAATATACGCGTGCTTTGGGATGAATTAAAGAGTTTTTGCCCAAATTTGATTTGTAATTGTTTTGCTAAGTGTTCTTGTAATCTGACTAATGTCTTTCATCAAAGGAAAATAGAAGATCATGCTATACAGTTTCTGAGAGTTTTGAACGAGCAATACGTCAATGTCACCTTACATGTTTTAATGATGAATCCTATTCCGCCTATATTGAATATCTTTTCCTATGTGGTCCAACAAGAAAGACAAATTGGGGGAAACAATTTTTTAAGTGGAGCCAAAGTTAAGATCAATAGTGTCACCGTTACCTGTAGTCATTGCAAGAAGACTGGTCACACCGAATCTGTTTACTTTCAAAAAGATGGGTTTCCTGGCAGCAACAACACTGATGGTAAGAATACTAGGTATGTCAAGAAGGTTTGTTCCTTTTGCGGTCAGAATGGGCATACCATTGACAATTGTTATAAGAAGCATGAGTTTCCTCCTGGATATAAGACCAATAGTAAGAGTAGCACCGTGAATAATGTTGACACTACCCAAGAATCAAAGAATGAGTCTGTTGGGAAAGATCATGATTTCAGACTATCACAACAACAATATCAAACCCTGATAAATTTATTGAAGCAAAACAATAGTAATAACAATGATAATGTTTTTGCCAATCAGGTTGGTCCTATTGTTTCTTGCAGCATGAACAAAGGTAAAGACACTTGTGTCTCTTTAATTAGTTTCAATAACAATAATGATTGAATTATAGATTCGGGAGCCACCGATCACATATGTTGTTCTCTTTCAAATTTGGTTTCTTCCAAACAAATTTTACCTATAAACGTTAGTTTACCTGACAGGACTAAAGTCCAGGCCACTCATTCAAGAATTGTTAAAATCTTTGGATATTTATACATAAAAGATGTTCTTTTTATTCCCACTTTTCATATAACCTGATTTCTATCTCTAAATTAGTTTCTTATTCTGATTTCACTGTTACCTTTAGCATTAATGCATGTATTATCCAGGACAAGACATCCATCAAGAAGATTGGTACAACTGATCTTCAGTTGGGTCTATATGTGATAAGGGGCAACACTGAAGTCAAAGAAAGCTCCTCTCCACAAATCTGTAATAGTGTTGTGAATAAAGATATT